AGGCCTATGTTCAGCAGTGGGCTTTGATAGGTTGTATGAATGAAACACAAATTGTCAGTTATCAGCTTTGGATGCGAATTTTTTTTGGTATATTATTTAAACAATACAGCCATATGGGCCACTGACCATCAAAGTGTACAATAACTTGCTGAACAGTTTCGTAGTTGACTTCCATTATTATAGATTGATGACTGATTGATGATTAATACTCAGATGTTATTATGGGTTTTTTAGGTTCTAATTTCATATTTTATTGATTAATTTGTTATAGGCACTTTACATATTATATTGTTTAGATGCCTATGAATTTGCATTCGATCTATCTTAGAGAAATAACGAAATCCTTACTCTTAGGATCTTATTGCAAAACCCGTACATCGGAATCGGATATGGAGAAATTAAGACGAGTATTATGACTTGCTCATTAAACGGCTTTGGTAATATTTTTCTAGTAGTTATCACCGTGGTCAACATCGTAATATCCTAAATTTGCATAAAAGTCGACAAACTTTATAAGTTTTAAATAATTATCAGTGAAAGTGGAAAAATACATTATTATTTAAAGATTTCCTAGATATAAATGCAGATACCAATAGTTGATATGTTATTTAAACCTAAAATTTCATGATAATAAAAATGCCAATACTTTTTTATACGTTATATTCAAACAGAGGTTTCATTTGGCAGCTATCGTTCTAAAATTGTATTTCCTTTCCTGTTTAATTGAACACACAATCTAAAATAGGAGTTATTATTTTAATTTCCACGGAGATTACATGAAAATAGAAAATGCCCGAGGGTCCGCTTTCTTACGAGTAAGTGACTGGCAGCCTAGTTACAGTCAGTTGGGTGCAGTTGTCGAGAAAAAAATCAGTGGCGGTAAGATTAGTAACGATAGGTATTAAGCATTTGAATGCCAATGATCTTTTTGCGTGAATAGGTTTCGATTAACCTCCTTTGTTTTGTTTTGTTTTATAATTTACTAACATGATTCTTATGATGATTTACTTTTTTTTAAATCGGTAATTTCTAAAATGTTGAAATGTAGGACACATAACACGATTAAATCTAGGACTGATAAAAATAAATACTAACGTGTTATTCATTTTTAAAACAAAGAACTAGTCTACAATAAGCTATTATTAAATAATAAAAAATACCTTACCTTTTACGAGCGTTGTATTGGCATTATTGGTTTAAAACACACTTCGCACTTTGAAATCCGCAAAATCAACATAACATATGTACATAAAATATTCACATACATACAAAATGTATACATTCATATGTGCATATACTCTCCCACTATGGCAATTTGGTAGTAAATAGCACTGTGGGATAATGTAATAAAAGTCTTAAATGTATTGTAGTTCGTTTTCATCTGTTCTTTATTGAACTTCAATTATTTTATTTAGGTATTACAAAACTAACTATTTCTTTAACATACAATTATTTAATGATTTCTTATATTTACGCGAACACTTTTAAATACATTTTTAAATAAAACTAATTTTATGGATTTTATCGCGTATATTAATCTATTTTTATATTCCCGACGTTTCGGGTGTTTTCCAGCAACAGTCCCCCGTGACCACGGTTGCTGGAAAGCACCCGAAACGTCGGGAATATAAAAATAGATTAATATATGCGATAAAATCCGTAAAATTAGTTTTATACAATTATTTGTTCTATATTTATGTAAGTTTTAATTGGAAGTAATACATTTCGTATTCCGTTACTTTGACTTAATATGCCTAATAGCAAAATCTTGAAGACTCGATTCGAGATGAGACTTTCTAACCAGCAGCGAGCAATAGAGTGTAGGGTGAAATCGACGTTTACGCGCACGCTCGGCCGCACGTCGTCGCCCGACCTGCGTTCCTTTGCGTTCCAATACCAATATTTTTAAAGAAACAAAAGCTGTTGAAGAAAATAAGACAAATTATTTCTTTTTTCGGACGTGACTAAGAAAGAACCTGTACCACGCGTCCAGTTTTTCAATACTCAACTACCGTGATATTTATACCACCAATATAAAATACTATTGTAAGTAACATGTACAACTAATTGTTTTAATTAATAAATAAAAACTTTTGTTATAGTCCTTTAATCCTATAAATTGGAGCGCGAGGGAAATACGTACGCCAGCATTTCTCAATTTCATTACCAATGCACTTAAGTAAAAGAGTTCAACGACGATTATTACATAATCTGTTGAAAATAAAATACCATTACATTAATCATATCACTTTTGTTTTTAATTTGGAAGAGACAGGCAACGTGTCATAGGTAATACGCCAATTCCACCATGTGAACGACGACTGAGACTCTAGGGAGTGGGGACCATTCACTAACTAGTGATGGGTAGATTAGCATTAGGGCTACACTGGGTAAGCTGTGTAGTATGGACGTGGCACACGTAAGCTGTCGCATTTTTGTGGTTTTAAAAAGGCTTTTGATGATATATGTGAAATGCCATTTATGAGAGAGAAAGGTATATGAAGAAATATTTCAAGTTAATCTGTAATTAATAGTACATTAAATTAACAATTTAATGTGGATTGTGGAGTGGTAATTACTTTTTGCAATATTGTGTACCGATTTGTAATGTCTTGCTCAATTTTACTTAAATTTTCATCTGCAATTATTGGGATCCCTTGTGGTATTTATGTGTAGTAACTATGCTCATTAACTTTTAAATTTTTAATGAGTGTTTAAATTAGATCATAATAATAATAATATGTTTTGTTAGTCTATTTGTTAGTCTATATGTTTACTTAACACATCCAATAATTGTCTTTTATAACATGAGTCTAGAATGACAACATCGAAGTCTCATTTTTGTTATTGGTAATTTCATTCGTAAGTGTGAAGCACGCCGTCTATCCACCCATTACCTACCTACCTAATAATATCCTAGATTAAGACTTAAAATGCAGAAGCATCGTCACCTGTGATAGGTAAAATAAAATGCCTGGTTTTCATCATTACCATATTTATAAAAAGGGTTATTGTAGTATAAATGAATACATGGTTGATAATAACCCTTGGGAATGAGGTGGTCGCTTCCAAGCAGTTTCTAAAATAAATTTTGTAAATAGTTTGTAATTATTTATATTGTAAAGTATATTTAAAAAAAAGTCCCGGTGGGTTTCTTGCTGGTTTTTCCCAGGACCGAGGGTTTTTTTGAACCAGTGGTAAAGTAAAAAATGACTTTCAAAAAGAATTACACATGTAATTTATATTGAATAAAAAAATATTCTATTCTATTCTATTCTATACCATACGAAACATTGCAGCGTTTTGCTGTTATGACACTGGTTCAACGCAAGCGTGGTCCTTCCTCAGTCAAGTCGAGCACATGCTACGTCTTAGCTCTGCCACGTTTAAATAGAATAAAACTTGTTTATTTATTAATTTATTTTTTTACTTTACCACATTTTTCCGTCTCCTTGCCTTTTAAAGTAATTTTAGGCTATGTTGTGGCGGTGTAAAAACACCCTACCCCATATTTTTCCGTGAATTAATTGATAACAATAAAAACCAGGAGTAATGGGCACTAACGGCTTCCTCATACATAACAACCAAAAATAAATACTACAGTTACCAACACAAGTAATCCCAATCTCCTATTAGACGATCAAAATGAGGCCTATGTTCAGTAGAGGACTTGATAGGCTTTAACGGTTGCAATTTAAAGCAAGGAAATAATTTAGAAAATCCTCTTCCTCTGAAAATACTTACAAATCTGTCTATTGAGTTCCTCCAATTTCCTTAAGGGTAGTTTTTTATATATAAAAAAAGTTGATTGATTAAAATCCTTAAGTACACCTAGTTTTCCGCAACGTAATTTTTAAAACCTGGGTCTACGTATCCTTTAAGTATGCGGAAATATTACCGTGCAAGTCTCTAATTTACAACAAACTGATTCCAAACCGAACGCACGTAACTAAGCATAATTTGAATTAGCCGATTTCATAAGAGATATTTATTTCTGTGAAATAAGCCATAGAGAAAACCAGCTTCTTGATAAGGGGGAAATGCTCATTTTATGTAAGCCAAACAAGTTCGAATCCATCTCAACCCACTACGGACTTAACAGCATGATTCGGCGATAGTGTAACTAATTCAATATTGATGCATTTGAGATCGGCAAAATCAAAGGAAGTTATAAAGTTCTCGTCGTAGAAAAATGCATCTGAATAGAGATACATCAATTACTATTTAGCAACAACTGTACTGTATATATTTTTTTGTTCTTAACCTTACTTATTTGTCTTTATTTATAGAAAATGGTGACAAATGAGCACATATTCCACCTGATGTTAGGTGGATGCTATGGACTATAGACATCTACATTTATCCTTAATTAAGAATCAAAATAAAATCTTGAAATGCTTCTTTCCAGTAAAAAGGATCTTTGGTTCTTTACACTCACCATATGAAACAACAGCATTAAGCTGCTATTTTACACTGATATTCTGAGAGAGCTGCTTGGTGCTACCACGTAAAGCATGTCTAATAATAATACGACTTATTAAAATTAAAGTAAAGAGTTGGAAATGGGTCAAAACTTTTTCGGATTCATGATGGATTTGAAAAGTAAAAGTTATAATTTAAAATTGTACAATGCATATTATTACATAAATTTTTGTATCAAATCGCGACCTTCGTTGGTACGGTGAAGGCCGCTCAAGGTGTCCTCTCATCGCAACAGGAGCGGCCTACGTCAGTGAAAGATGCAACCGGTGCAGTTCCGGCGTTGCACGCTGCACTCGGTCAGTGGGTCGGCCCCCACATACTTCGCCGCTTAGTGGGGCGAATTCAGAGCGGGGGAGGTCGCCTAAGCACTCGTACGGTGAGCGCAGCTGACGCCGCTATGGCCGTAGTGTTTACGCTGCAGCGCTTTTAGCGCTCATGAGCCCGCGCGGGCCCTTAGCTAGTGCTCATCTGAACGTGTTTCGTTGGTTGCAGGCCGCTGACTGACGCCCGACTGTACTATGAAGAGAACTAGCCTGCTGCTGGCGATCGCGCTCCTTATAAGGGTAAGTTTAATTTATTTATTTTCGTAATTACGAGTTAGTTTATATAGATTATTAATAATTTTAGAACTTTATTTATTATTTCGTAATTATATCTATAGTAAAGTCCAGTGATATATTCTATTATTTTACATATAATTTTCTTTTTTCTGAAAAGAGACTAAAACTTTATTTTAGTAATTTAATTTTATTGGTCCGTTTCACTTAAGTGTAATATATTAAATTGAATTACAACTTTTTTGCTTAGGGCATATTTTTTATTTTGTTTGATTACATTTTAAAGAGTATGATATGAGTAATGTGATCAAAGTGAGCATTCATAATGGCAATACCGTTTTGTTCATCATTCTAGTAAACTGTGGTTATCTTAAAGTAACAGTAGCCAGTATTACATGTACGAGTAACGTTAATATATAATATCTCAGACGTTGACGTTTCAAAATACTCGTACATGATATTCTATAATATTCATATATTATTTATTAATAAAATAAGAACACAAATTCGATTTAATCATGTATTCATTATGTAAACATAATTTTTAGTGCCGAATAAAATTAATTTACGGTTGATATCGTAATTTGTTCTAGAAAATATGCAAAAGTGAAACCTAAAAAGTTCTCTATAGCCCTCAAAATCTAGATATTTTAAATTTAAATTTGCAAATGGAAAGTTAAAAACAATTTATTTTAATATTAAACAAATAGTGATGACTTAAAATAACAATAAATGTACATAATAAATACATATTTTTCTGCTATTCCTTCCTTTCCAATTTTACTAGCGAGCCATTGATACTCAGTTGTTAGAGAATATAACACCTATTTTCTTATTAGGCAACATGTAGTGTATTTAAAAAGGCAATCTTTCTTTAGCAAAACTTAGCGTTTATCGATTCTCTGAATTTTAACATACAATTTTAAACGATACTTATAATATATGTACTTTATAAGAGACCTCGTAAACACTGTACGATCTAAATATTGTTTCCATCGTACGCTCGAATTATCATGTGACTGCGGCGTAAGAGAATCCGTCGGCAAAGGAGAAATTTTCTTTTTGTATTGAGAATGGGCCCACCACCGTAACCAGGCGTAACTTAATGAAACATATGTCGATTTATTTCTTATAACCAATAGATTACAATGGTAATATTAGTTTTGCTGTATCTAACGGGAATACTAAAATAATAATTAAAATATGAATATCACAACAACCTAAAAACAAACTAAGAGCGATTGTCTAGTAGTTTTCGCCGGTATTATAAGTTAAAATAGTGCAAAAAAGTAAAATAGTGCTGGTCAATAATTAATAGTATAAAAAAGTTCTAGGTATATTCAGCATTTATAGGTACTTTTAGGTTGATGGAAATTTTTTTAGTAGTTCGTTCTTCTTTATACGCATTTTCTTTTATTACATTAGCCAATTCACGAATATCAAAAGAACTTTTTTTCAGATGTTTATCTTTAGGCCATTTACTATAATAAATTGGTATCTTTAAAGTTAAAGTTTCTAGTGGGCCCAAAAAATGATTGTCTCTTTTCGTGCTATTGAAATCGTACGAGGTGACTATGAGAATTGCCAGAAAAGTCTTATAACCATTTCATTTACGCCTGACAAAAAATAACCAGGCTGGTAATACTGCGATTGTCAATCCGTCCACCAAATGTGATGATTAGGACAAATCCTCCTCTATCATAGGAAAGACTCAAGCTTTTAAGAGCTGATTACGTTGAGATAGAAATACGCTCACATGTTATAATCATTAAATATTTCAATAAATGAAAGTTACATTTAAAACACATCTCCTTTTCCATATCATATATAACAAAGAGGTTCGTTATAATTTTAATTCCATAAACGCTAAAACTAACTTTATCTTATGTATCTAAAAGAAAAAGAGTGTACTTATATTTATATTTAGGTGGATCTTTTCCACAAATTACATTTAATTTCGTTTATTACAGAAACCTTTTTCACCCCTCGATCTATTTCATTATTCGCAACATAGCTTAGTATTTATTACAAATATGACACAGCAGTATAATAATAAAAATGTCAAAATGGCCTATATTCATTTTCACTTTTATTTTGTAAGCCTACTTAAAAAGTAAAAGTGAAAAGGTATCTCTTTTTTAATGCTCTTTCTAATATTTTATTCTCATCATTTATTTTCTTTAAGTATTTTTTGTTTTATTTATTTTTTTATAAATTGGATGGCACGAGGACATTAATAGTAACAGACTCTACTACTACCCTACTCTCGTCATAAAAATGATTTGCATTTACAAATACATACATTTCATTGCAGCGTTTATTCAAGAGAACAATTTTTTTTCTTCTTTCGTAGATAAAAATCTAAGATGAAATGGACACTGAATATTTACTAGTCCAGTCAAGTTCAAGTTTTGATCGAAGTTGTCGCCAATTGTTTGTCAGAAAATAAAAGGTTGAATAATAAAGAAACCTAATATTATGTCAATTCACCTATGAGATATCAATCAAATTGTTTTTTTTTTATTGCGCACAGAATCAATGTCTAGAACACATTCGCCACATGCTGTACGCTCGCCGATCCAATCATACATTATTCAGCTTTTTCCGCTCGCGTTCTCGGCAAGTAGGCTAATAATTCCGTTAGCATATCCACAAAACAGCGGACCATTGGAATCTAACTGCATATACTGATAAACGTGCATCATCTCTCCACAAAAGATAAATATCCATTTTATCACCTTAATTGGAAGAAAGGAGTTTCGGTGCTCTTTCAATTTTTATCAAATAACTCCTTGTGACAAAAAAGCTATATTATGGTAGTAGCACCAATGGATTTACTGGGTAGGACCACGCTCTCACAGAATACGAGCGTAAAATAGCAGCCGCTGTGTCTCGTATAATGAATGTAGATAACCGGAGACCCTTTGTCATTGGAAACGAGGCATTCCATCTTAGTTCTTCTATCCACTTAATTGGACTGTGTTGCTTGTTTATATGCAAGTTTTATTTTTCCAGAAAATTTACTTCTTAATTAAATACCTATCGTTATATTCTATCAGCGTCTAGTTCATTTATTAATAGTCATTTCACTTACATACTCATCCTATAAATATGGTCTATTCTTCTGACAATCGATCGTATAAATTTGTTTTATTCGTCCGATAAATTTATATAAAATATGTACATGTGAAACTTAAAACGTATATGTAATCTTAGCTTTATGTAATGTCAGCGAATGTAAGGTCGAGTGCAGCTGGGGTGTTCCAAGGGACTATTTAACTTTATGTGAATTTCCAAGTTCCACCAAAGTGGCGGACTTATTAACATACTAGCTGTTCCCCGCCACTTCGCACGCGTGTAATTTATTACGATTGGATTTCATGGGTTTTAACTTTTTTGCGCCGAACCCTAATTCTTTTTCTAAAATAAAAGTAGCCTAAGTTACTACTTATAATATCAGCTATCTGCCAATGAAAGTCGTCGAAATTAGTTCAGCCGTTTCGGAGATTAGCCGGACCAAACAGATAGTCAGACAGACAAACAGAAAGACAGACAAAAATTTTAAAAATTGTGTTTTTGTTATAAGTACCGTATGTACTTTCATATGCATTTAATAAAAAAGCTGTTATTTTGACATTACAAACAGACACTTAAATTTTATTTATTTGTATAGATAAATCCTGTACCCCCATTTTGAGAATTTAAGGCTTTTTAAAAGTTTATTATCTTGCTGGGGCAACTTAACTACTCTACAAAAGCGACTTATAACTCAAAAACTTCAGCGTCGTTTGCATAGATGGCTCTGTGATGCGTTAGCTTTTCATCAGTCATTCAAATAATAAAGGGTCAAAAGGGCGCCACTTTATCGGCGCCATTTTGATGATATTATAGTAAATATTTAGTCGATTTTAGTATTGAATAATGTAGTTAGTTTTTTTAAGTTGATTTTTCGAAGTGTTCATAATTATTGCCAAAATTTTGTTGGCTATTTCTTTTCTTAATATATTAGTTATAGTATACGACATTGTGTACTTGTCTCTGTCCTCCTCCTAGTTTTGGTTTTATAGGGCGGCAAAGCTTAAGGTGATCATATTACCCTCACGTACCTTATATTATTTAACATACTCTAAGATCACAAATAAGCCAGGAAAGTGTGAACTTTACGGTGAGTCGTTGACCGTCGAAATATCTTTTTTAACAAGCACTTTCACTGAGGCAGAATTTCACAGATTTGTTGGCGAATGATGCAATCACAATGCCACACACGTTTCGTTCTTGCCATTATGTGATAAATTTAGCAAAGAAAATCTATAAGGTAGAATAAAACAGATATCAACTGAATGTAAGTTTCGTAGTGGTATATGAAGTGTAGGCTGGCTTTTCACGAGTCGAAATGAAGACCAGGCAAATTATGCATGAAGTCGATGAAGGTGGCTCTGGAACTTATTTTAGACATTCCTTGAGTCTTCGTACGGTGGTAGACTTGTGAAGGGCTTTAATGAAAATAATGACAGTCGCAGTCGCACGCTACTGGCTGTACGTGCCAGTAACATGTATGCTAGTACTTCTAATTAGTGTATGGTCACATGCTACTGGATAAAGCAATATATTATACTGACCTACGGGATACTAGTTGCATGCTACTGAAAATTATTAGCGATTTAAGAAAAACATCGATGTTCACTGTCCTTGACTAAATGTTCTTAGACTAAATGTTTTTGTTAGGTACAGTTTGTTACATTTCAATCTCGTTGGTACTTTTTAAAAAAAATACTTGTATAAATTTAGCGATTTGTAAATAATAAACTAATAAAGGTTTATTAAAATCTTATAGATAACTTGAACAAATCTCATTTATGTTACATACATTGAACAGAAATGTTAGTTTTTCAAATATTAATCATTATTTTAAGTAAAGTAATCTCTATATAAGACGTATACTTACGAATCTAAGTATCTTTATTATTGAAATTAGCAATGTTAAATACTTGACAGTATATATACAG